CTAGGGCCATCAATCACTGTTAGCACTAAACTGATGAACAGTAAAAGCGTTTATGGGAAATTTGGGGTATTTATTTTTCTGCGGCTTCACGGGCAAATGCAATTTTAAGGCTCAACATGTTTGGTATATATTTACCCGGCATAATCCCGTCTTTCATATTTTACCAAAAAATTGGGTATTATATTATATTTCTCTGCACTAAATTTTAATTTAGTTTATTTTTTCCTAAAAATACTGGTTTGATAAACATTTGCGCAAAAACCGTGCGACATAAAAAATTGCAAATAGCATTTTTTAATTCTACAGGGTTCTCTGCTTTCAGAAAATATATCATTGTTGGGGGTTTGAAGCTGTTTTCTAGACAGAAAATGTATATTTTATCATGTGGGTACAAATAGTAAGAAAATGCCCCGGACAGCAAGTGGTAAAAACAACATTTCTGCGTGGCTTATTTTAAAACTTTTTTCTCTAACCATTTCCATAGCAAAGATGCCAATTGAACGGTTTGACAGAAAGATCTGGAAATCTTTTTAGGAAGTAAATTCATAAAAATAAAAGGCATGAGGGGATAAAAAAAAAAAAAAGAAGACGAATGTAAACTTTACAAGAACACAAAACTTGGTCACTAAAATTTTAATTTGTCATAATTTAGACATACATTTTTAATACAAAATGTACAAACGCATTAGGACATAATGTGGATGGAACTTACTCCTCCTCTGCCAGGGTAAGAGACCTCATTTTTCTCTTCTTCAGTATAATAACACTTTCAGATCCTCTTTCCCACCCTGTGACTGAACAGTGAAAGCAGAAGCTGCAGACTTAGGAGCTCAACCTCACACTCTGCTCTCTATCCCAAGTAGCATGCTTCTTGCAGTGGGGCACAAATGATTGGCTCCTTGTATTGTCCCCTCCACCAGTGTAAGCTCTGCTGTAAAGGGATTGCAAGAGACTGATACGGCGCCCGGCTTCCTGATGGTCGGGAAGCTGGCCAGTCAAGAAGCCGGGCAGCGCATCATTACACGCTGCCCGGCTTTCTGATTAGCTGGGAAGCCGGCTCCATGCTCTCTCATCACAAGTGACGAGAGAGCATGGAGCCGCTTCCCGGCCAATCAGGAAACCGGGCAGCACGTAATGACGCACTGCCCGTCTGTAACGCCCAGTGCAAGCACAGGTTAAGGGTAGGATCTCAACTGCGGAGCTAGGTGGTGTGACCCACAAGTAGCGGGATTGACGCCTATTCAGGCTCGAACCTCTGGCGTCACTCACAGACTAACGGTGAGTTAGAGGCTCTTGCATCATGCGCCGTGTGAAAACAAAGTGTCTTTAGCAGTGTTATAACTTCATAAGCAACTGCTGAGTTGGTAAAATGATATAGAATCTCAATTAAGGTGAGTGCGTGATGGGAACGGTAGTTCATACAACAGGATCACAGGCAACACTATTTGTGAACTAGTATCAACTTTAGATCAGCAATATCACAGTCTACTTCAGAACAGCAATCTCTTAGTATAGACTTCAGATCAGCAATGTCTTTGATAGTTCTTTGGCAAATCCAGGTCTCCTTCAGAGGTTCCTTGTGGAGAAGGTCAGGCGGCCTAGAAGGGGTCCTGGTTCCATGGAGCAGCCTCACTGTGGGTAGTAGCAGGGCGTTCAATCCTCAATAGTGGAACGCCCTGCTACCATTGAGGAAGGCTTTAAATAGCCCGAAAGTGCGAGAAAATCGGCAAGCGGTCTCTTCTGCTTCCGTGTTCCACGCTGGAACGCATCGGCCGGCATCCTATTGAAGGGGCGTGACTACGGCCTCTTACTTCCTGGTGCGCTCCACAGTGGAACGCACCCAAG